GGCCCGGAGTGAATTCTTGAGTGTTGCGTGAGAAGGGTGGCCGAGCCGTTGATGCCAAATCCCGGGTTCCGCACGGTAGCCGACCGTTTTCTGATAATATTTGTTTCTTGCTGCTTTGTCGTTTGCCTCCTTTCCAGGTCCTGTATCGGCAGCGTCGTGGTTTTCGGCGGCGAACGCTTGAATTGACTTCCGTTCCAGAAGCGCGTGTGGAATCCCGATGATGTCGCCGGTATCGCCAGCGTCGACATGGTCTCCGGTTACAAGCAGGCACTGGTTGGGCCAGTCGCGGACTGGGAGTCCCTTCATGGGAATTCGGAAGTAACTGTACTCAGCGCCGATGACCTCAATTTCTTGTGGTCCTTGTTCTGGCGGCTCGAGCTCCTCGGTAGGTTCTAGCAGTTCTGCTGCTTCTCCGAAGAATTCGTAGGTTGCTTCTTCTTCTGACTCTTCTTCCATTGGTTCTGGTGTGTCAGGGGCGTACTGGTCCGGGAGGGGAGGCCCGCCCCAGCTGGTGCCGCGCGTTGCCCGGTAAGGATCGATCGCTGCGGTTTCCACTGAGGGGAGTCCCGGAGCTTTGGGATAGGAGGGGGCCGCCTGCCCCCATCCTCCTTTGCTTGTAGAGGCACCCCAGCCGCCTCCGCTTGCAGAGGCACCCCAGCCGCCTTCTTCTTCGACGCCCCAGCCGCCTTCGGCGGCACCGCTTGCTTCTGTTGCAGAGATAGTGCCCCGTTCTTTCGCAACTGCTTCTTCTGGTGTCAGGACTTCTCCCAAGGGGCCGAGTGCAGGGCCGGGACTGCCTGATCCAGTTCCAGTCTTCTCGCTTTCTTCAAGGATTGGTTCCGCAGGTGCTGACGTGCCACTGTCCTCTTCCATTGATGCAGGTCCAGTCTCGGTTGGGTTGGACGTTGAGGCAGTCGGAACGGTGCGCAGTCGTAGAAGACCGTCCGAGGCGGGTCGCTCGAGATCCATTTCCGTGGGATGCGACCAAGTCGGTGTCTCCGAAGGGGTCGTTTTCAGCAGCAAGGTGCGGTGAGAAACTCCAGTGGTGCCCTGAGCTGAGAACTGCAGCACGAAGACTCCGTCATCGTCAACTGCCTTGCCAATGTAAGTGTTGTTGTAGAAGAGTTCAAAGGTCTTGTCCTTGCAATTGCTGCAAATGTCGACTCTGCACCGCATGAGTTGTGCCGAAGAGAGCAAGTTGTATCGCAGATCTGGAGCGACGAACACGTCACCGATGTGAATGGTGAACCTTGTGTCATCAACCTCAAGGTAAACTTTCACAGATGTCGTATGCCTTGAGCGTGCTGTTGTTTGCAACTGTGATTTCGCACGGTCGCCGCATAATTTTTGAGTTAGTGATGAACGTTGGCGATCCCACCATATGCTGTCCGCAGCAACTGTCTAGGTACCAGGTGTTGATGTCGTGCTCTGTCGCGCGATGTTGGCGATTTTCGGCGTGACCACGCGATCCTTTTCGGCGGTGTATGGCGAGAGAGCGAAGTACCTGTTCGCCGAAATCCTGGGAGGTGATTCCGGTGTCGGCAGTGGCAACTCGAAGTCAGGTGGGTACCTCTGCGGTTCATCGATCCAGCGAAGGACAGTGGGGTCGTTGTCTTGCCTTGGTGCAACAGGGTCGATGGGATCGTCAGACGGGAATGTTATTTCGTCGTAGTATCGAAATCCTCTGCGACGGCGAGCCATGTAGCTCATGATTGACCCTTTGCCTTTGTCCTTAGACGTAATGCGTGCAGGTGTCTAAGAGGTGCTTGCGACGGAAGGAGGTGATATGGTTGTTATGGCGGGAGCGGTCGAAGGCGTCGAGGATTGATTGTTTGAAGGGTTGTTGCGCCTTTCGTCGGCGGCCTTTCGCTTATAGCACCGATCGATAGTGTGCCCAGGCTTCTTGAAGTACTTGCAGAAAGTTCCTTTCTTTCCGTGCTGCTCCCCTTCAGTTGTTCCGACGTAGAAGACTAATTTCTCCCGCTTGGTGTTCTTCTCGTTGTATAGGTCGATCTCCTTTTGCTCGGAGAGAAGTGTGGCATACAGGGCCGATACGGAGACGGTTGCTCGAGCGCGGAGCAAGGATTGGCATTGACGCCAGTCGGATCCGAGGTCGGAGAGAACCGTTGAGACGAACATGTCGTCTGGGAATGATCCTCCGCACTTCTTGATGTGATCGCGCAGATTGCGGCACCGGTTGATATATGGACCCGCTTTCTCCCCTTGATGCATTTTGGCCGATGTAAGCTGGCTGAGTAGGCGACTCATAGTGACGGGATCTGTTGCCATGTATGAGTTGCGCAGGTGCTCCCAAGAGGCGTACGCGGGCGCCCACTCTGATCTGTAGGAGCGAATGCCGATCTGTTCGTTGGGGGAGAGATTTCAGAGCAGAGTGGTGTACGCGAGAAGAGATTCGTGGCAATATTGGTTCTTCTCTTGGATGGTGCCTTCCGTTGGAAACGGTAAGCTTCCGTCGTAGTACATCCAGATTTGCGCAGTTGTCGCGAGGAGCTGAAACTCGAAGCTCCAAGTATAGAAGTCATTTCTATCGAAAGGAACTGATGTTTTCAGCTTTGATGTCAAATCGAAGTTTGTCTGCATTGTTGTAATTGTGTCTCAGTGTGCGCGTTGTTGACTGTCTTGCACAGAAGCTGAAGCTTGACGATTGTCAAACATGGATGAATCTTTCGGAGTTGACGCGGCGGTCTTGTCCAGGAAGAGGAAGTCCAGCAACTCCACGTGCATAGCTTGAGCCATCGATGTTCATTGCTTGATGGCTTTCAAGGACGTTGATGCGGGCGACCAGCTGCTCAACGAGAGCGGCGCTGACGGAGGTCACCGCTGATGGTGCAATGGGTGTTGCTGGTGGTGGGCCCGGAGAGTCTGCAGTGGGTTTTCCTTCTGGAGCCATAGTAGTGCAGAGTCTGTTAATGATGTAATGAATAATTTATAAGGAGGTTTAATCTAGCAAGAACAAGAACTTGCCAGGCCTTATAATCCACTCTAGCTCTGATACCATGATGTTATAACTGAAGGATCGTAGTGGATATGATAAAGTTGCCAAGTATATTGAGAGAACTACAAAGTCTCTGTAGTGACCTTGCTAATAAATTGAGAGAAAACAAGATGATTATAAGATAGGAGTACAAGAGTATAAATAGCAAACCTAGCTAGCCATGTACTCTGGGGGATACATTTCCTTATTAACCGAATTATATTGCTACAGTAACCACGACTATTGCCATTCTGGACAGTTACCACGCTGCATTTCGTAACTGTCTTGTGTGGTTACTGGGCAGTCAATGGTCACGACCGTTGGCTGTCTTCGACTGTTGACCTTCGGGTGACCCTCGACCTTCCGCGTGCTCTATATGAGCTATTGCGGTACTGATACAGGCGTTCACTTCATTATGGAGTGACGCGAGAGTGGAGAACCTTTGGATGCTTGTAATAACATTTCGGTTATTCCAACATAGGCTGCATAAATCACAGCTTAGTGCTATCTGTAATAGACGAACTTGCAGAGTGCGCAGTAAAGCGAATAACGAGAATACTGAACTACTGAATTAATGAATACACAAAGTGACGAGGCCTAAATAGGGGAAGTCCTAGCTAGGCGGGGAGGTAGGGCGAGGATGGTTCGGTGATGGTTGCGATTGGGGCGGAGGCCGACTCGGGAGTGGTTCGGCCGACGAAATAGGCCGAACAGGCTCGTCGCGTGACCCTCGGGATGTCCTCGCTAATCACTGACTATAGTAAGGAATTCTAATTCCTTACACTGTCGCTGTTGTAACTCAGCTTATACACTGGATGATGATGTGAGTTATCGGGAACTTGGTTTGGATGCCGTGGGGACCTAGCGTTGATTTTTCACGAGCTTGTGGCGTGGGTGTTGTCTATCATTTCAAGGATCTCCACCTTGATGCTCGGCTTGGTTGTTGGTCGGCGCACGCAGTCAACGCTATCAGCCAACACACGGCCATTTCAAGGCAATCCATAACCATATTGTAAACACCGTCGGCCGGCGAGCGTCTTATTAATCATCGTTAAAGGTCGCTTCCTTTAGCAGGGCCTGGAAGGCGGAATAGTGGACCCCCTTGTAAGGCAGTTCTTCCGCAATCGCTCTTTACTTTGCGCAAGTCCTGTCCAACCACCCGCCAATTTAAACCTGCAGCCGCACAGCCCTCGTATGCCCTTTTCTAGTACCACTCGCTCCTTAAGAAATTGGAACAACCCCGTGCGATCGAGTCTCCACATCGGAAAAAGCAGGAACCACCAAATCAGACTCATGTGCCGGCAATCCAGGGAGAGCGCATCGCCTCTCTCAATCAGCCGCCCTTCTGCTTGGCCGGCGCCTTTCCGCGAGCAGGAAAGCATCAGCTACTAGCTTCTTTTGTCAGCGATCGTTACCGGTACCGGTACCGATATCGGTACATTCAATCAACATCGTCTAAAGCCCGTCCGGACATCCGAGAGCATTCGAGAGCGTCCGCGACTTCGTCAAGCCCTCGCCTTGGCTTCAGCCAGGGACAATATAGAACACTCAGGCACGCCTGGGACGCATCGAGTGCCCTGCGCATGTGGTATGGCATGCGCGTGTGACGCCCATGGCATGATGGCGGCAGCATGCCGGCAAGTGGTTTTCTGATCCACGGCGTCAGGCGTCGATGCGGCTAGTAGGAACTGGAGAGTCTGCAGTCTGGTAGTTGGTAGCTGCGGGGGAGGGGGACGAGGAGGAAAGGCCGGTGGGAGCAGGAGCAAGAAATGAGAACCCCGTGCGCGTCACGTTGAAGCATTGTGCTAGAGCAAGCGATTTCGACGACTGGAAGGTTCTACTAGCTCTCTAATCCCTCTCTTTTTCTCCTTCTCGTCCGAGGGGTATTTATTGTTACGGTTCCGGAATTCCCTCTCGCGTCGGTTTAGGCGGAAAGCGCGGGGGCGTGGAAGGCAAGCGGGCAGGCGGAGCGAGGAGGCACTTCGCGGGGGGGGGACGGGTAACGATGGTATGGGAGAAGGGCAAGGGGAGGGGGAAGGGGAAGGGGATCCGCGGCAGGGAGTCGGCGCAAGGCGGCGGCGGCGGGGACGAGGAGGAGGAGGAGGAGATGGAGGACCTGGTGTTTCTCGTGGGCGTGGCGCGCAACAACACTCTCGTGGCGCGCTACACGACGGACGTCAAATTCGTCGCCGTGGCTCAGCACGTGCTGGACGCCGCGCCGCCGTTCCTCTCCAAGGTGTCTCTCGCGCACGACACGCTCATGGCTCTGCTGCTCGTGGACAAGACCGGCAGCTGCGCCAGCGCCAGCGGCAGTAGTGGCAGCGGCCACAGTAGCAGCAGCAACAGCGGCGGCAGTGGTGCCAGCGGCAGCGCTGGCAGTGGTGGGAATGGCGGTGGCGGCAGCAGCAGCAGCAGCAGCAGCAGCGGCAGCAAGAAGAGTGGTGGTGGCAGCAGCAGCGCTGGCAGCGTGTGGAGTATGGTGGGCCCAACTAGCCCTCGCCCATTCACTGGTGGTGCTGCTGGTTGGGGTGGGGGTTTTGTTCCTCCTTCCACTTCCGCTTCCTCTATCCCTCCCCACCCTTCCCCGAAACACGCCATCCACCCCCCCCCTACCACATCGGACAGCTCCAGCGTCACCACAACGGGCGTGCTTATAGCGAGGATGTGCGGGGGTGAGTTTGAGCGCGCAGACGGGTACAACCTCCTGAGAAAGGTGCTCAAGGCGTTTAAAGAGGCTAGCACGGCGCACCGCCGCTCTGCCAGCAGCGTCTTCATCCGCTCCCTCTCTGCGGGCGCCGGTCTGCTCACCGGGTCTCGGGGGAAGGAAGGCGGAGGGACTGGCGGAGGAGGCGGAAGCGGAAGCGGAGGAGGAGGAGGGGGAGCGGGGGGTGGCGGTATTAATGGTTCTGGCATGGCCAATTCTGCTTCGGGTGGCGGGGCCGGTGCGTTCCCGACCAGCGTGTCTGTCTCTCGCGCGGTTACTGCAGGAGCAGGAGCAGGGGGGGGGGGCGCCGGGGAGGGAGGGTGGGCCTGCTGACGTGCGTTCGCTGGCAGCGGCGGCAGCGATAGCAACGGAGCTAGGGATCAACGTGCCACGGCTGGAGAACAAAATGAGAGCCATGGTGATCCAGTACCGAGCGCCCGTGCAAGACCCTGAGCTCATCTTTCCCTACCGGGACGCTCCTGGCGCGTACCTCGTCCAGCCGCCCGAGCCTGAGCCCAAGGCTGAGGCGGAGGCTCGGGTGAGGAAGGAGCGGGCGAAACGGCTGCTGGAAGACGAGCTGAACCTTATAACGGAGCAGATGATGGATGATGCGAGGCTGGAGGGTGGCGGTGAAGGGGGGGGGGACGGGGGGAAAGCGGTGGTGGTGGCTGTACCGGTTCGGCCGAGGTTCTCCCGAAGCCATGGGTTTAGGAGCCAGTCGGAAGGGAATTTGGTGTGGGGGTCGAAGGAGGAGCAATACCTTTTGGAAGAGGTGGAGGAGGGGAAAGAGGAGGGGAAGGAGGAGCGGAACACGGAGTGGAGAAGGACGGAGAGCAGCAGCGGGGTTGCAGGGGATACTGGGACACCTGCAAATACATCTCAAGTAGGCGCGCTGCCAGGTATTGCTGTTAGTTTCTTTGCTGGCTCGTTTTCTGCAAGATGGTTGGTTGGTTCGTTCGTTGGTTGGTTTGTTGACTGGTTGGTTTGGCTGGTTGTTTTCTCGTCATGAGCGGGCGCCGGCAGCATTAGCATTGACATGGGTATAAAATTATTCGTATTGCCACTTAGTTCCTCCTGCTGCCAATGCTGTTTCAGCATCTGTCGTTGTCTCCCCCACTGCTGGCCCTTGCTGCCGCCCATGCTGCCGCCATTGCCACTGCTGCTCCTGCTCCTGCTCCTGCTGCTGCCCCTGTTCCTGCTCCTGCTCCTGCTGCTGCCCCTGTTCCTGCTCCTGCTCCTGCCCCTGCCCCTGCTCCTGTTCCTGCTCCTGCTCCCGTTACCACTCCCGCTCCCGCTGCCGCTCCCGCCCCTGCCCCTGTTCCTGCTCCTGCCTCTGTTCCTGCTCCTGCCCCTGCTCCTGCTCCTCCGTCTGCTCCTGCTCCTGCTCCTGCTCCTGCTCCTGCCTCTGTTCCTGCTCCTGCCCCTGCTCCTGCCCCTGCTCCTGCCCCTGCTCCTGCTCCTCTGTCTGCTCCTGCTCCTGCTCCTGCTCCTGCTCCTGCCACGCTGACTACCACCCCCCACTCTGACACTCCTGACATGACACCACCACGTGTGCACGGCAGGTTATGCTCTCATGCCCTCCTTCCACTCACGACCCCACAGCTCAAAAACCTTCACCCATTTCTGTCTCTATTCCCCTTCCCCCTCCTCCCACTTGTGCTCGTGTCTATCTTATCCTTATTTCCTTGTTTACTCACTCCGTTTCCTCTCTATTCTTCTTCCTCCCCCTCCCCTCCCCCCCTCCTCCCTCTCTCCCTCCCTCCCTCCCTCCCTCCCTCCCTCCCTCCCTCCCTCCCTCCCTCCCTCCCTCCCTCCCTCCCTCCCTCCCTCCCTCCCTCCCTCCCTCCCTCCCTCCCTCCCTCCCTCCCATCCCCTCGTCGTCCGCCGATCTTTCCTTACGTTCGTTCCTCCATTATCCACCGCTCCCCTCATTTCACACTGCCCTTTCCGGTCCTTGCTCCCTCCCCGTCTCCTCCCCTGCCGCTCCCTCCCGTCTCCCTCTCTCCCTGCCTCCCTCCCTCCCATCCCTCTCTCCATCGCTTTTCACCTCCCCACCCTCTCTGCCTCTCTCCCCCTCTCCCTCTCGCTCCTCCGCCTCCGTTCTCTCTTCCTTTCATCACCTGCTACTGCATTGCATGCGCGCCTGTTCCCTTGCAGCAGCGGCAGCGGGAGCGGGTGTAGGCCCTCCCTGCCCTGGCATGCCCCCAAGGAGTCCGCTGAAGATTGCTGCTGGTGGGGGCCGGCGGGAGATCATTCTGATCAAGGAGCCAAAGAAGAGTAGGAGGCAGAGGGCTGCGTCTGTGGGTGGCGGTGCTGGGAGTGGGGCGGTTGGGGCAGTCTGTATTACACAGGAGCAAGCCGTGGTTGGTGGCGGTGCTAGTGCAGGGGAGCAGCAGGAGCAGAAGAAGCAAGAGGGGCAGGATGGGGAGGTTCAGAAGAAGGGGCAGGAGGAGCAGACGATGCAAGAAGAGGAGCAGGCCAAGCAGAAGGAGGAACAGGAGGTGAAGCAGGATGAGCAAGTGAGTCTGATGCAGCAGAGTAGAACGTTAGCAGTGGCGCCTCAGCAGCAGCAGGAACATCTCAATTCACAGGCGCACGGGAAGGGTTATAAGGGTTTAGGAATAGAGCTATCTGCTCCGCAGCAGGAAAAAGAGCAGACAACAAACCTGCAGCAGCAGCAGTCGCAGCAAGTGAAGGTAGAAACTGCACTCATTTCTGGGGTGAGTCAGCAAATCGGGGGCATATCACTTGGGAATGACATGGAGGTCCCTACACCCAAGGGATTCACCGCGTTATTCTCCTCCTCCTCCTCCTCCTCCTCCTCCTCCTCCTCCTCCTCCTCCTCCTCCTCCTCCTCCTCCTCCTCCTCCTCCTCCTCCTCCTCCTCCTCCTCCTCCTCCTCCTCCTCCACCACCACCATGGCCCTTGCTCAACGGAAACCTTTCTACTCAACATCATTCGTTCCCGTGCAATCCTCTACGCCTGCCGATTTCCCCAGCCTCTCCTCCCCTTTCCCCTCCTCCCCTGTCTCCTCCTCTTCCTCACGACCACCAACTAACCGCGTGTTACGTAGGGGCTGGTCGTCGGAAGTCCCTGGGGATAGAAGCAGGGGTAAGAGGGCAGCGGGAGATGGCAGCAGGGGGGGAATGGGGCTGGGAGGGTACGGGGAACGTGAGAGCGTTTTGGTTGGGGAGTACACGAAACTGAAACGGCCTTCAACTAGTGGTGGTGGCGGTGGCGGTGGCGGCGGTGACGGCAGAGGTTTTCTTTATAGTGAAGAAGGGAACAACACGCCAAGCGGCTCTAAGGTCAGCAAGGGCGGCGGCCTCTCCCTCCCTCTCACCGGTTTCCCCGACTCATCCTTCAATGCTTCAGTGTCGGGCGCATGGCAGCAGTTCAGCCGCTCCCTACGCCTTCTCTCCCCGTTAGACCTCTGCGGAGCCCCGCCGCAGCCCTTGAGAGGAGCACGGCCGGGCGCCCGGCTGCCTGCCCTTGGGGGGTTTAGGGGGCTTGGGGGAGCAGCGGGGGGGGGAGGTGGGTCGGAGGTGGAGATGGAGTGGAGGGAGAGGCTGTTAGAGAGGCGCAAGGAGGTTGGGTTCCAGCGGTCGTCCTCGCTGAGTGACGCAGAGGCGTTTCAGCATCTGGGGCTGTATGGGTTGGACGAGGAGGGGTATGGGCAGGATGGGGCGGGGAAGGAGGGGGGGGGTTTGGGATCCAGGGACGGGATGAGAAAGGGTGGGATTGGCGCTGGGAGTGGTTTTGGCTTAGGAGTGGGTCGCAGCTCGAGTAGTAAGTCAGCAGAGGAGGGTGCTTCTGCTGGTTCTCCTGCTTCTGCTTCTGCTTCTGCCGTTGCGGGCGCTGGTGGTGGTGGTGCGAGCTCTGCTGGTTTCGCCGCTGTTGGCTTTGGTGCCGGTGGTGACGTGCTGGGCTTCCTGTCTCGTGGGTTCGGAGGCAGTAGCAGGTCAGCAGGAGGGGCGGTGGGAGCAGGGGCAGGGCGAGTGCAGCAGCAGCAGCAGCAGCAGCAGCAGCAGCAGCAGCAAGGCAGTGGGGGTGCGGGCCTGGCAGCGTGCATCAGCGGTGCAGCAGGCAGCACAGGGAGGATGATGGGAGGAGGAGGGGGTTGGAATGCAGTGGGTGCAAGTGGTGATGATGACGATGACGAGTCGCTGCTGCTGGGTTACTCGAGAATTGATGTTGATGTTGACTCTGCGGGGGGGTCAGGGAGAAGCGGGGAGCAGGAGGAGGGCGTGGGGGCAGCCGTGGGAGTGGGGGTGGGCGTGGGGGTGAGGGTGGGGAGATCTGGCATGGCTGTTGGATCTTCTGGGGTGGTGGGTGCAGATTCAGCTGATGTAAGCTATGGGTCCTTGGTGGGCCTTGCAGTTCTAGCTGCTGCGCCCATACTTTGTGTTTGCTTCGTGCAGCATGCAACTGACTCATGAGATGCGCGTGCTTTACGTCCCTGCCCACTGCTGAGTCGGATGCTGTGCTGACTGCCATGCTGACTGCCATGCCAACCAATGCGTTTTCCACTACCATGTTATAACATGCTTCGCTGCTTGCTGCTCACAGTGCATCCGCATTTTCAACTGCACTCTGCCTTGGTGCGACAACCACCCATCAACCTCAGTCTCTCTCTCTCTCTCACTCTCCCATGTTCCTTCCTGCACTCCTTCATTCCCCCACCCCCCCCATCTTCTGCACTCTCCCGCATGTGTTACCTGCTGGCAGCCCTCATCGGCCTCCTTCATTCCATCTGGCCTACGGCACAATGTAGGATGCCATGCCTGAAAGGATGGTGTGCTGTGCCATGCCATGCCATGCCATGCCATGCCATGCCATGCCATGCCATGCCGTGCCGTGCACGCCCTTCCATGCCAGCGTTCTGTTGCACGCACGCAAGCATGGCTGTTCACGAATCACGCCTTGCTATGGCACCCATTGTCTGCATGTTATTTGGGTTCACTGGCACACACCACTTCTGTTGCCCCTCGGTCACGTCTCCCCCTACGCCTCAAATCTCCAGCAGTTGACGTTGCAAGGTCGTGGCTCAACTCACGCATGTTATACCGCAAGTCAGCCTTCATTCCTCCTCTCGTTTTGTCCGTGCACTCATGATGTTCATCGCTATACACCCACGCCCCCCCTCCCCTCTTCCCCCTTTGCTCCTGCCCACTTTCCCCCCTCCTTTCCAATGGGCAGAGGCTCTGTCTGCTTGTCGCCGTGTTGGCTCTGCAAGCCCTTGTTGGCGCTGCAATTGCCTTCCTCGTTCTCTTCACCTGAAAAAAAACCTTGCTGGACGCTGGTTGAGTTCCTCCTATCATGCTCAACTTGTGCTGTCTGACTGTGCTGGCTGTGCAATACAGTACATACAATTAGGACCACAAATGTAGGACCTTCTACAAGTATCTTCTCCATACCGTATTCCCCCGGATATAGGACCCTCCCGAAAAAAAGACCCCCGGGACTTTTGAACGGTACTGGGACTCTTAATATTTAGCACATGTGAGAGGACCCCCCTTTTGCTACAAAACATTTTAAGACCCCCCTTTTCTGTATACAGTAGTTAAATATAAATATGCGCGTCAGCTTTTAGAGGCACAGAATCCGAAATTTGACGCGTCATTTGTGTCAGAATCGGGTTCTGACACACCAATCGTGTCGGACACGAGATCTGACGTTTCTGACGCGCCGCTCGCGCAAATTTCGCGCATGCGAGATTTTTCGGTTCGAACATAAGACCCCCCCCCCTTTCAAATTCGGGTGTACACCCCTAAATCGCATAACTGTACTTGATTAATAAGTGTACCCGGGTCTTATACAACTCGTTCCGATTAAATGTTCACCCTAACCAATTTGCCTCTATTTTAGGAAAGTCCCCCGGGTCTTATATCCGGGAGAATACGGTACTTTTATCGATCGCTTGTTCTTCTTACATGCTTCTGGAATTGTTTCTTCATGTGCTCTTCTGGAACAATATTTTGGGTGCATTGATTATTGAGGTACCGCAACTCTCTTCTCTGGTTACTGAACCCATGAAATTAGAGAGCCATGGCCCGAATCTAGGATGTCCCGGCCTGGTCCCAGTCAATCTTGGTGATGTCGAAACAGCCCGAATCTAGGATGTCCCAGCCCCCTGTCCTCCCAACACCCCCCTCCCCTTCCCCTGAACCACTGCCCAGCACTCGACTCAACAAGACGGTGGTCCCCCTCTGTGCCTTAGATGAAGGCATGACATGACACAGTGGTAAAGATAATGAAGAAAACTACGGTAGTACTGTTAGAAACTATCAGGCAGGAATGAGTTCACTAGCAGGGAGTGAAAGTACAAGTACCAAACCTTAAAAGAGCTGTACTCTATTTTGGCTACCCCACTACAGACTACAAACATATAAATCAGTTTTGACCCTACACCATAAGAACCAGTAATCCAAGGTGCATAAAGAAGTAATGACAACTCAGTCAAATCAGGGTAAAAATGCAACACCAGAAAATAAACCCTTGATTCTGACAGCGGTCGCAATAAGAGGCGCACCGACCCTTTGCTATTCACGGTATTTCCTTACACCGTACACCCACCTCAGCCTCTATCCTTTAAACATCAGGCCTCACATTTACCCTTGGCTATTTTGACCTTGCTTGGAATGCACACTTTTGTACCCTTAATCAGTTTGTCGATGCAGTCGTAACCGTTGATGTGCCTGTAGCAGCCTTTCACACCTCGGAAAAACTTGACCTGGATCCCCGTGCAGCGATCGCCATTGCCGATTGTAATTGCAGTGGCGCGGGGACACGTCCCCTGGAGAAGACTGTCCGTGCTCCCGACACACGCCTGCAGAGCACGTGACACACCAAGCAAAAGCAGACGTGGAGGAGAGAAAGAAAATCACAATCAACTTCACCATCTCCATTACCATCACCATCACCATCACCATCACCATCACCATCTCCATCTCCATCAGCATCAGCATCAGCATCAGCATCAGCATCAGCATCACCATCTCCATCTCCATCTCCATCTCCATCTCCATCTCCATCAGCATCAGCATCAGCATCAGCATCAGCATCAGCATCACCATCAGCATCAGCATCAGCATCACCATCTCCATCTCCATCACCATCAGCATCAGCATCAGCATCAGCATCACCATCTCCATCAGCATCACCATCAGCATCAGCATCAGCATCAGCATCACCATCTCCATCTCCATCACCATCACCATCACCATCACCATCACCATCACCATCACCATCTCCATCTCCATCTCCATCAGCATCAGCATCAGCATCAGCATCAGCATCTCCATCACCATCACCATCACCATCACCATCACCATCACCATCACCTTCACCTTCACCATCACCATCTCCATCACCATCACCATCACCATCACCATCACCATCACCATCACCATCACCATCACCATCACCATCTCCATCTCCATCTCCATCACCATCACCATCAGCGTCAGCATCAGCATCAGCATCAGCATCAGCATCTCCATCTCCATCTCCATCACCATCACCATCACCATCACCATCACCATCACCATCACCATCACCATCACCATAACCATCACCATCACTCAAGCATGTCCTTGCTACAAGAGTGTTCGTGCTCCCAACGCAAGCCCTACAGCATGTGGCACATCCGCCGGAGGTTATTCTGTAGTCGACTAGAAAATCACCTCCATAGTAGCATAAAGAAAAATAATATGCAAAACCACGCAAAGAAACCCAAGCTAGAGTATTGCCTGAAATGCCCAACTTACCTCGAAAATCTCCTGCAATGCTCAACTAACATCGCCTCGCTCGAAGCAATGCTGAAAACCAGCAACCCTCAGGCTCACCTCGAAGCCAGTCAAGCTGCCAACGTCCGTCTTGGGAACAAGACGGTTGCACTTGATGCCAGGGTTGAGACGGTAGAAGTCGACGCGGGAGAGAGGCGGGTTGGGCCCGTTGCGGATGGACTCGCACGTCTCGGCGCTCTCCACGAAGTAATACTGCGAACACAGCGCCACCAGCCCCGCCATCTCCGCCCGCCGCTCCACACACACCGCCTGGCTCGCCGGCAGCTGCCCGCTGTTGGCGCTGCAGTCCACCCCCGGGTTGAGCGCCTGCAAGGCTGCCGTGCACTCGGGGGACGGACAGCTGCTGGCCAGAGAGAAGTAGGTCGCCAGGGCCTCGCAGGTGTCTCCCTGGCGGGCATGGGAGGGGCGAGAGGTGGGAGGGGCGGCAGGCAGGGAGGGGGTAGGGAGGGAGATAACATAAAGGACTTTGCTGACAAACAGACAAACAAGTGCAGCAGACTCACAAGTGCAGCGCACGCACTTGCAAGTGCAGCAGAATCTCTAGTGCGGCGCACACAAGTACAGCAGACTCTCTAGTGCTACACACTCACAATTGCGGCGGACTCACAAGTGCGGCGGACTCACAAGTGCGGCGGACTCACAAGTGCGGTGAACTCTCTAGTGCGGCGGACTCTCACAAGCAGCTTTTGTTTGCCCTCATGTGAGATGAAAAAGTTACCACCCACAACACAAACCACCTACTACCTGCCACATCCCACGGACCACTTTCTACCCACCACCATCCCCTTACTACCACCTTCTGCCTGCCACCCGCCAAGTACCTGCTCAGTGGTGTAGTAGACAGAGCAGGAGGTGATGGTGGTGGGTGGGGCGACTCGGAGCACCGAGTTGACGGGCAGAGCAGAGCCACACGAGATGGCCTGGTGGCAGAGCAGAAGGCAAGCAGGTAAGGAACACGTGATTGGGTGCGAGAGAGGAAATAAGGTCAGAGGGAGGAAAGGGGCGTGGAAAGAAAGAAGTGCAACACGAGAGGACTGCAGCCTTAAACATAATGGAAGCTCTCACGATCTCACGATCTCACGATCTCGCGGTCTCGCGGTCTCACGATTTCACGATTGTTGGTGAAACCCTTCGGTTTGCACTCGACTTGTTGTCCGTGTGGGTGCATGAGTGTGTGCATGGAATGGTATGAGGGCATCAGATAGTAAATATTTCATGCTTATAATAGTGTGTGAATGATGAGTCATGATGTCGAATGTGTATGTGAGTGTGTCGAGTCAATAGCGAGTCATCGCTAGTCGCGTGTCACGCGGTCGTTCGTATCACGCGGTCGTTTGTGTCCCGTGCACGGTTTCTATTTTGTCGTGTGTCTCGTGCACGGTTTCTATTTTGTCGTGTGTGGAACGTTCGGCGTGTCGCAGGTGTGTGCAGGAGACCCATCAAGAAGTCAAGGATGAGTTTGTGATGATGAATCAAGAGCTTAAGATTCAAGAGATCGCGAAGCCCGCGAAAATGGTACACTTCAAGATATTGGGAACAGTTACAGTACTTTGTGTAGTGTAACATCTCTCTTGGTCTAGGTTTTTGTAATGGATAGTTTCAAGATCCTTCGTGGTTGGGGACAGTGTGGCACTGTTCCACATCACTGTACCTCGGCTCTTAAGGTTTGTAGAGGCTGGAAGTCATTTTCAACTCGTAACTCTTCCTAATTTGTGTTATAAGACTATAGTTGCTGCCATACTGACGTTCGTCAATCCAATGATGCGTTGTGAATTCTTAGTGAAATCGTGCAATCTAAATTTCCTATTGTAGGGGACATTAAGACGCTCCAGATCCAATTCGAACCAGGTCATTTGAAGCCGTGACCAGAACGCTATGAACGTTTAAAGCCGCTGTGCAGAAATCCGACAGTGCACTCTATCTTTTGTTTTAGACACATTCAAGCCTACTGTGACTACAACAACGATCTCACGATCTCACGATCTGACTGCGCTTTTCCTCCTACATGAGAGGACAGCAGTCTTGAAGCACGATCGTGCACACAAGCTCGCCAGACTCCTCCCTCCCTGGAGCCTCTTTCAGATCGAACTGCTGCTGGGAGAGGATGCAGATAGAAAACGGTTTTTGGGGAATCTGAAAAACTTCTTGAAAGCACATAGGCTCACTGGGTTCTGCTGCTTGAGCTGTTCCAGAGAGAGGCCGTAGACGGGAAAGACGTCTGAGCACTTGACATTGGGTGAGACAACGGTGTAGGTGCCGCTGGTGCTGCCGGGCGCACAGGAGAAGGTGCCATCGACGGTAGTGCCCTGCCTGAAGCCCGGTGGACACACACACGAGTACGACCCCGCCCCGTCATTCACACACGTGCCCACCGCACACGGGTTGCGGATTTGCGCTGCACAGGCGTCCACTGGAGGAGGAGACGGAGAGCACGAGCGAGTGCGCATGAGGGATAGAGGGATTAAGAGAAACAAGGGGACCAAGAGGGCAGGGAAAGAGGAGGGAAACGGAGGTGGGAGTGTGTTGTGTGGGAAAGGCATGAACGCATGGGCGAAGAGGGAGGATAGAAACAAATGCAGCAATGTGGATGTGTGTGAGAGAAGCACAGAAACAGATGCCCAGAAGCAATCCCGATGCGCCCAGTCTAGACTACCATATCTGCAGGTGCGGAGCAGGAGGCATGCGTACCATAGGCACAGGTGCGCGAGCCATCGGTGTTGGTGGCCTCAATGAATCGACCGTCAGATGCCGTGTTGCAGGCGCAGCGGTTGGAC